GGGGTGTCTGGGTCCATGGTGGGGGCACAGGGAGCCTGGGTACCGAGGGGTTCAGGGGAGGTTTGGGGGATCCCAGGCAGCAGGACGAGGTTTAAGGCTTTGGGGGGTCAGAGAGGATTTGGGGAATCTAGAGTGGGGGTTCACAGAGTGTCCGTGGGGGTCCTGGTGGTAGTTAACCCTTTAACCTCTGTGTTATCCCTGCTTCCCAGCTCTCCCCGCTCCSTCTCCCAGCAGACGCCCCAGGAACCCCGGAGCACGTGTGCCCTCTCGTCCCTATTGCCCACACAATCCCCGGGTGAGGGGCTGGGGGGCCCACGCATGTCCCCTCCTCTCTGCCCCACGGCCCCTCCACTGTCCCACAGCGAGGTGAGATCCGGGGGGCACTCAGACTTCTACTGGGTGGGGAGAACATGGTGGAGGCTGTTACTGGGGTGATTGTGGTGCAGGTGTGTGGGGTTGGGGGGTTATGGGGCAGACTGGGGGGACTGAGAGGTGGGAGGGGGTTATGAGGCAAAATGGGGGGGCTATGGGGCAGGAAGAACTGTGGGCAGAATGGGGGGTCTATGGGCAGAATGGGGGGCTTATAAGGCAGAGGGGGGCTATAGGGCAGAGGGGCGGCTCTGGAGCACAGGGGGCTATAGGGCAGAGGGAAGGGGCTATGGGGCACACGGAAGGAGCTATGGGGCAGACGGAAGGGACTCTGGGGCAGAGGGGGATCTGTGGGCCTAGAGTGGGGTCTGGGGCAGGAGCAGCTTTGCGGACACCGCGGGTCCGGCCGCAGCAGYGCTCCCTGTGTCGTCCCTTAGGCGCCCGCAGCTCAGGACGAGCCCCCGGCAAGTGGGGGTCCCCCCAGGAGCGGGGACACGCAGGGGGGACAGCAGAGCCCCCCCGAGCCCGCGCCCGCAGGTGAGACCCGGCCACGCCCCCCAGCCACGCCCCCGTCGGGTGACCACGCCCACTTTTAACCACGCCTTTACAGGGTGGAGCCCGCGGAAGCCCCGCCCT